GTGAAGATAAGTCAAAGGTCCTGCTCGACCATTGTTGGCTTCTCTTGGAATGAAGTCTTCTGTATGAAAAAAAACAAAACAACAAAAAAAAAAAACAAGTGTCTTCTTGGGGTCCCTCAGGTTGAGGTGGGGAATGAGAGCAAATTATTCTGGAGGAACGCAAGGGAAAATGGCTTTAGATACTTGGGTGACAATAGAATTTATTCTCATAATTGTTTTAATAGCTTTTGTATAATCCTCATCGCTATTACGAGATATAAAATGTATTTATCAAATCTGTAATCATTATGCCAAAAAATCTGAATTACTGTAAAATTTTGCATATTGTTAAAACTGTAACTTTAATTATAAAAACAATTTAAAATAAAAAAAAATTCTGTACATTATGAATTTTCTTCCTCAAAGGTTTTTTGGTTGTTTTTGTTTTGTTTTTCTTTTGTCTTTTGCCTTGAATTCACAGAGATCTGCCTGCTTCTGCCTCCTGGGTACTGGGATTAAAGGCCTGTGCCACCAGGCCAGGCTTCCTCAAAGTTTTTGAAACTGTTACAACCCTCATGAAGAGAGGTTAAGGTTGTGCTGGGGGAGATGGGTCAGCAGTTAAGAGCACTGACTGCTCTTGCAAGAGCACCAGGGTTCAGTTCCTAGCACCCACAAGGCAGTGTTGGTTTTACACAGATTGTTTTTACTGACTGTAGTTGTTAAGGCTCTTTGTGTAAGAGCAGAGAAAACCAATTTCAGCTAACTTAAACAAAAGTAACTTGTTATGTTGGACCCCCAGACTGGGGTACCCAACGTTCACAGGAGGTCGCACCCCAATAACTCAGTCCTCAGACCAGAAGATGCAACAAGCATTAAGATTTATTGGCGTTTTGCAAAACGGACTCCCACCTCACTCGGAGGACAGAAGTCCAGAGCCCAGTTTACAGGTTTCTTTTAAAGACAAGTGGTGGCTATGTGCCAAGCAGAGGTAGGAGGAATTTCTGGGATGATTTCAGCTTGGGCAAAGGAGCATGAAAAAGGTCAGCTCAGCTTGTTCTTAGCATTCAGAATTATTTTTCATTTTTGCTTCCTTGTACAGTTTTTTTCAGGCCTGGGGGATTTTAGTTTAAATCCATCATTTTGGAGGGACTTGGGTCCATCATTTGGGGGGGACTTGGGTCCATCATTTCCCCCCTTTTCTTCTAGTAAGATTTTAATCTTAAAATCTATAGATCTTCTGTTCCTAAAAGTTAAAAAAAAGGAGAAGAATTACCAGGGGACCTATTAGGGTGGATACTAAGGTAGTTAACCAGGGGCTTTTATTAAACCAGCCTTCAAACCATCCCTGTTTGGATTCACGTTCTCTTTACGTTGTGTCTTCTCTACACCTAATCTCCAATTTGGTAGGAGTGGGGCATTTGTGGACTCCCAGGCTGGTAGACAGCAGCCAAAGGCCTCTAAACCTGGTTCTGGATGATCTGGAGGGCTTGATTTTAGGCTGGGGTTATCAAAAGAAGAGGGCAAGGGGGACAAAGTTACATTGAGGACAGGAGGTGGTCTTCTAAAGAGGATTTCATAGGGGGTTAGGCCATGTATAGCAGGAGTATTTCTAGCCCGAAATAAAGCTAGAGGTAGGAGCTGCACCCAGTCTTTAGTGCCAGTCTCTAGAGCTAATTTAGTCAAGGTCTCTTTAATGGTTTTATTTATCTTTTTTACCTGTCCTGAACTTTGGGGTCTATAAGCACAATGTAATTTTTAATTAATCTCTAATGTTTTGGCCACTCTCTGACTTACCTGGGAGATGAAGGCTGGTCCATTATCAGACCCAATTACCTTAGGCAGTCCGAATCAAGGGAAGATGTTTTTAATCAGTTTCTTTACCACAGTCTGGGCTGTCTCCTTCTGGGTGGGGAAAGCTTTAACCCACCCTGAGAAAGTGTCTATGAACACTAAAAGATATTCATAACTATATTTTTCTGGGAGGATCTCAGTAAAATCTATTTTTTAGTCAGTCCCTGGTCTTGTCTTTCTTTCTCTCTTACCAGATGGAATTTTGATCTGGTAGCATTTACCAGGGAACATGAGACACAATCTTCTACTACCTTTTGGACCAGTTGGTTGAGGTCTGGGAAATAATAGATTTGGTTTTTTTTTAGTAGTGTCTTTAGTTTTTTGTGTGGTGTGTCTG